AATTACTACACTATGGCAAAGTAGACAAATAATATTGCATCAGACATCATTTGTCCATGACACGTATCTACATGCTGTTGTATACAAAGAGACAGAAGACAATGAAGATTTAGAACAGGTTTTCAGACAATATTCCTCACAGCATCTATATTCATCTCCACATAGTGATGAATCATCAGTAAAAGGGCATTTTCCATTCATACCACAAGTCATCGAATTGAGAGAATTCTATATATTTTTCAAAGTATTATAAGAACTAGCATTATAAGGTGCGTTACCATATCTGGGACAATTCTTGTAACAACAAAAACTTAGAATATTCTATTTTCTAAGAATGTTACAATCTACTTGTGAAAAATTATTTTTTTGTATCTCTCCAAGACCTATGTAAGTAACAAACAAAGAAGTGTTATCCCAAATACTACAGATGTGAATGAAAAAATATGAAATAATAATTTATTCATTTTTTTTTTGTTTATTATCAAATATTCAAACACGCAAAATTTATAATAAAATTATATGATAATCAAAATTTATTTTAAAATATAACGTAATTTGTAATACTTAAAATTATAATCCCATAATCATATCGTACCATATATAGTTATGTCAAAATATTTGACTATTACTTATTTCTTTTTTCTTTTTAATATATCTGTTGATATTGAAATTGAACTTAACTTATGTTTAGCTTGAACAGCAATAAGTTTTCCTATTTTCTCTTTAAATAAATCTGTACCCCTTTCCTTTTTGATATAACCTTTCAATAAATCTCTTGTCGCAATCGACATGTATCAACCTAAAACATGACTAATGAGATAAACACTTGTTGAATCAGAAACTAAGTCAATATGTCTATTATCTAATTCATATTTTCTTTCAAATATATCTAATACTACACAATAATTAGGATGCTCAAAAAATCTAATAACTTCTTCATAATATATCTTTACAAGTTCTGATTTTTTAGTATACATTACAATTATACACTTATAAATATTGATCTTATT